TTGTTTTCCTTATTCTTGTTAGTGGTTGGATTTTGATTTCTTATTAGTTCTCTTGATATTCTGTTTCTACTTGTCATTCCCCGAAGCATGTTTTCCCCTTCCATCCTTACTTGTTTATTTCTGCTTTACTTTCCGTTGTATATTATATAATTGCACAGGTTCATTTGGGTCTGGTCCTAGCCTCGTCACTACTTCACCGAGGTTAGGCTAGGCACTTACCAGCACATGGGTTCGGTTGTGCTGATACTACACTCTGCACTATTTTGTGCAGACCCCAGTGTTGTAGACTTTGGACCGCAGTGGGATTGCTGACTCTTATTCATCAGGCGACCCGAGATAGTCCTACAGGCGTCCGTAGGCCTTGGCGTCTCCTTCTATCTACTATTCCTGTTTCTTTCACGCTTTTCCAGAGAAAGTGTTGTATTTATTTCTTTCAGACCTTTATTTGTAGTATTCTTAGACCGTCTGTGATACTATGACACCAGTTATGGGTAGTCGAGGTTCAAACAGTTGTATTGGATTTTCGTGTTCAGATAGCTTATGTACATATGTAGTATAGTATAGTATAGTATAGTGTGTGTGTGTGTGTGTGTGTGTGTGTGTGTATATAGTATAAATTTAGGATTTTAATTCAATTTCAACTATATATATATACTTACACTATACTTACACTATACTATGCACTAAGTATGAGTGCATTAGCTAATGCACTGATACTTAGTGCATAATATAGTGTATATATATATATATATATATATANGTTGTGAAAAGAATTGTGACCTATGAACGTTGAGGAGCGTTAGCTCCAGCTGTATAACGAATTGTGAAAGTACAAGTGATAATTGAACCTCTAGAGCAGTGGCTCGAGTTGTGAAGTGAATTGTGAAGTAAAAGTGAGAAAGAGAAGAGATCATTATGTTGCCCCCTTGTCGGGCTATTGTTGAGTTGTGGTTCCCTTGTATTGTGTTCTTAATTGATATTACGGATACTTAGGTTGATGATTCCTTGTGTTAGGCAAGGATTATGATTATAGCTGAGGTAGTTAGGTGTTGTAACAAGTTTGGGTATAGGTGAGGTAGTTAGGTGTTGTAACAAGTTCGGGTATAGCTGAGGTAGATAGGTGTTGTAACAAGTTTGTTTATAGCTAAGGAAGTTAGATGTTGGAACAAGTTTGGTTATAGCTGTTTCTTTTTCCCTTGCCGGGATAGTGTAGACCTTTTGATCCCTTGTCGGGACTCTCGTTATAATTATAAATATATATATATGGATCGGGTTGCACGCCGCAACAATATTATATATGGATCGGGTTGCACGCCGCCGCAACATTATTATATATGGATCCGGTTGCACGCCGCAACAATATTATATATGGATCGGGTTGCACGCCGCAACAATATTATATATGGATCGGGTTGCACGCCGCAACAATATAATGAAATGGGAGCGGGTGGTACGCCTACCACGAGATATAATGAAATGGGAGCGGGTGGTACGCCTACCACGAGAGGTAATGAAATGGGAGCGGGTGGTACGCCTACCACGAGGTATAGGAAATGGGATGGGGTTGCACGCCTACAACAAGATGTGAAAAGAAAGTGAAATCTGCCTTTGTTTTCCTTATTCTTGTTAGTGGTTGGATTTTGATTCCTTATTAGTTCTCTTGATATTCTGTTTCTACTTGTCATTCCCCAAAGCATGTTTCCCCCTCCCATCCTTACTTGTTTATTTCTGCTTTACTTTCCGATGTATATTATATAATTGCACAGGTTCATTTGGTGGTCTGGTCCTAGCCTCGTCACTACTTCGCCGAGGTTAGGCTAGGCACTTACCAGCACATGGGGTCGGTTGTGCTGATACTACACTCTGCACTCTTTTGTGCAGACCCCAGTGTTGTGGACTTTGGACCGCAGTGGGATTGCTGACTCTTATTCATCAGGCGACCCGAGATAGTCCTACAGGCGTCCGTAGGCCTTGGTGTCTCCTTCCATCTACTATTCCTGTTCTTTCATGTATTTCCAGAGACAGTGTTGTATTTATTTCTTTCAGACCTTTATTTGTAGTATTCTTAGACCGTCTGTGATACTGTGACACCAGTTCTGGGTAGTCGAGGTTCAAACAGTTGTATTAGATATTCGTGTTCAGTTAGCTTATGGCTTCTTTCTTCCGTTTATGTTAAATTTCGCTGTTTAAATGTTATTATTATTATTATTAGAATTGCTAATGAATATAAAATGAGAAGTAAAAAAAGGTAAATTGTGAAATTAATTGGCTTGCCTAGCTCGTACTAGTAGGCGTCATCACGACTCCCGAGGGTGGAAATTCGGGTCGTGACAGCCGTGCACATTTATATTATTCATATGGTGAGGAAGAGTGATAAAGCACAAAGGGTGATGCCGTGCACATTTCTATTATTGATTGCATGGTGAGGATTGAGAGTAAAAGCACGAAGGGTGATGCCGTGCATTTTCTGTTCACTGTGTTCATTTGCTGTTATCGGTTCAAGTGTTTTAACTGTTTAAATTCCTTATTGCTACAATTCTTAATGTTGAAACCCCCATAGTATGTTGCCCCTTCCCGTACATTTCTGCTTAGTTTTTATTACTTGTTACTCTGTTATTATACTGATTAACTGCACAGATTTAGGATGTTTGTCGTGTCCTAGCCTCTTCACTACTTCGCCGAGGTTAGGCTCGACACTTACCAGTACATGGGGTTGGTTGTACTGATACTACACTCTGCACTTTCTGTGCAGATCCCAGTACTGGACCATACGAACCATAGTTCGAGGTTGCTACCTTCAGTCCAGTGGAGACCCGAGGTAGTCCTGCAGGCGTCCGCAGGCCTTGGCGTCCCCTTCTATCCCGTTTCTTTTCTGTTTTATCTATTTTCGAGACAGATGTGCATTTCTTTGTTCAGAGCATTGTTTGTAGTATTCGTAGATTGTCTGTGAGTAGTGACACCAGTTCTGAGTGGAGTTTTTCTACGAGTTTCGTTATTTGTATTAAGATAATCTGTTAAATTCTGCTCTTCCGCATTTATTCCGCTGATTTATTTTTGTTAGCTTGTAAGTTGTTAAAAGATAAAGAATAAAAAGCAAAATAATCAGTAACGTTGGCTTGCCTATCGGGTGCAATGTTAGGCGCTATCACGGTCCCGACGGTGGGAAATTCAGGTCATGACAAGTAAAATTATCTCCAATATATCACTATACACAATGTCACATCACTTTTTTTTATTATTCCCAACCAAAATCTAGCTCTTGTGAGCACAGACGGATTCAAAATTTAAACTCTATAGGTTTAAGTTTTTAGGTTTTTAGCACTGAACTTACTATATTTTTAAAGTTACGGTTAATATCTAATACTTATTGCAAATTTAAAAAATTTCTATATTTAAATTTATAATCCGCATCGAAGTACTGTGTCATGTTGAGATGAACCTTGTACGAAAGGGTAAATTTTAAAAATTGCCAGATTTACCACTAGTCGTTCAAAAATAGCCCAATTTCAAAAGTAATCGAAATTTAGTCACTTTTTATATAAAGATAAATCTGAGCGAAAACACTGTTCAAAACCCATAAAATACTCCAGTATATTATGCTGGAGTTCCAGCATAAGTATACTTGAACTCCAGCATATTATACTGGAGTTCCAGAATAAGTATGCTGGAACTCCAGCATAATATGATGGAGTTCCAGCATAAGTACACTAGAACTCCAGCATAATATACTGGAGTTCCAGCAAGTATATTGGTGCAGTATAATATACTGGAGTTTAGAGCACCGATGCTCCAGTCTCCAGTATATTATACTGGAGCCAGCAAAGTATACCGGTCCAGCATAATATGCTGGAGTTCATACACAAGTGCACCGAACTCCAGTATATTATGCTGGACCGGTCTCTATTGCAACAAAATAGTGGCTATTTTTCATTGACTTGGTAAACGCTGGCTATTTTTGATTGACCAGTCCGAAAACTGGCTATACCGTGCTATTTTTACCCTGAACTTAGGCTAAGAAGCCCAAAAGTTAAGGACAATAGGTCCTGAACTTAGACTAACAAGCTCAAAAGTTAAGGACACTTGGTCTTGAACTTACAGTTACAAGCTCAAAAGTTAAGGACATGTAGTCCTGAAGTCCTGAACTTAGAGTTACAAGTTCAAAAGTTAAGGACATGTAGTTCTGAAGTCCTGAAGTTAAGTTCAAAAGTTAAGGACATGAGCAGAAGGGTATTTTCGTCCGGGCAGTTAAAGTTTATTAAAGCATTGGCTAAAGGCTAAAGACATTTTAAGCAGTGGCTTAAAAGTAAATACATGTGTTATTAGTGGCTAACCGTGCACTTCCCCCTAAATCGAGATGAAGAGAGCACTGCATGCGAAAAAGCCAGCATAGAATATTGGTTTCATGTGTCGCAGAAGCTCTAAAATTGATCCAGAAGTGTTTCAGACCAAAGGTAAATCACCACTTCAAAATAATAGTTCCTTCTAGGTAATTGTACCAACAGTATAGATGTCCAACTAAGCTAAGGAACCAATCTCATTAGATACCAAAAATAAAATGTCAACATGAAACATCTTAGGCTTAACTACAATGTGGGAACTAATCACTCAACGCAGGACTGACTCACCTTCTCTACAAACTTAACGAACAACACGGAGTGTCTATTCTGAAATCACCAACTTTTAAGATCCAACAACTGCTGCTCAAACTCATCTAATTTGTAAACGTTGAATGATAGCCACCAAGACCACAGTCAAGCAGTTAAACTAGCAATCCACATCTTGCACCAAAGGTAGAGAGATACTTACAGGCCCAATCACAGTATCCTTCTAAAATCAACGTTTATTCAACTTAAGTCGTTGAGCAAAAGGAAAAAGTGCAAGAATAGCCTTCTGCAACTAAATATGTTGTGCATTTTGTCCTGCCAGCACACTAAAATTTTCCAATATGAACAACAGGGAAGCTGAAGTCTAATGATAATAAGATAACCAGGTCATAATTAAACTAAAACCAATATCTTTGAATGACTCAAACAATCATACACTTTAGGTGTCACTGGACTATACCATAAATACTTACATAAGTAATAGATTCTTCCACAGCAATGTATTGTACACAAAGAGGACCTTGTACTTGAGTAGGGGAAAGGTATTTCATTAATTATCAGCATCTGTGCTTTTCAATCCCAAGTTAGACTCAACCGTATCAACAAAAGAAAATACGAAACCTATAGAATGAGGATCTTAGTTAATAATGATGACAACAGCTATACTTACCAATATACATTCAAATTTCTTGGATTGTTAGACTTTCAAAATCAGGTACAAGTTCCACGATTACCAAAGCATTATGATAGCCGAGGAATTGAGCATAGCTAGAGATAAATCAATACGAGGAAAATTTAGGAGCACATAAAATGATAAGATAGTGATACAGACAGAAAATATCCCATGATTCTAACTGCACATCACTCAGCTGAAATTGCAGTCATCTATATCTTTCATAGTCAATCTAGTACTTATATGTTGAGCAATCGACATGTTTCAATCAATCTACTCTAAAGCATATCTGACAAGAGTAGTAAATGAGGTGGCAGACTTATCCCCAGTCAACAAAAGGGAGAGGCGGATAACCACCCTCTGGCGGAGGCCTTAGAGAGGGAGGCAGATTGCCCAGCTTTGCTCCGGCATTTTCTCTGAACACATCACCTGCTACAATCAAGAACATGACAATTAAACTTCTTTTGAAAACTAAAAGATAACCCCAAAGAGAACACCAAGAACATCAGCTGATTAAATGTGGGATGGAAAACATCAAAACACAATGGATTTCAAGGTTAGATCTCAAGTCCTTTCTAAAAAAATGTTAGATCTGATGTCACAGATGGCGCAGATATTAATGTTCGTATAGAAAGAGCATATGTGCAAAAAGCGATGCTTGCCTGGAAAAGATACTGAACCGAAAGGTTGACTATTTGGTACACGCTTTAAGTGACTACCCTCTCTAGTAGTTGTTCCTGAGAATTGGATAAAGAAAACGAAATCAAAAGTTGCGAGCACTGAGTTCTTCCCAGAGCTATTCAAAATCGTAGGAGATGAGCAATCAACTACACTCTCAATTCAATAGTATATCTATATCAAGAATTAATACTTCACAACTTTAAAAACTAATTCTGGTCTGTCAATCATTTGGAAATACTCCAAGAAATGAAAACCCAAAATTACAGGACAATAAAAGCTTAAGAAAGGTTGGGATATAAACTTTGAACATCTTGAATGAGGAAGTTGCAGCATTATAAGATAAGTCCCTTGACTTCTGCACATTGCCAATTCCAAGAAATTCACAAAGATTGATTGCCCAGATCTACTTTGAACCTACGGTTCCCAAAGTTCTGTTACTTTCCTAAGATATTCCTTTGAGAGCATACCAACATCTGACAAAAATAGGACATCTTTCAGATGAGTTATCCGGAAATTGTTTCTGGCGAGCTGACTAAGACAAGTATTTCAGGAAAAAGCAAACAACATCAATCATTGACTGCATTCCATCAGCTTTCCAATTCTCTTCCAGAAAGAAAAACCCCCAAAAACCACTAGAGTGTTAGAGTGTTTCAGGATATACTGACCCACATATTTGTAATTTGAATCCAGAACACTTTCTCGACAAACTTTCTTACACAGACCCTTCCGATTCCAAATGGCAAATATCATTTGCCTTATTAAAAGAATTTTTTGACATCATCAATTGTTAAATGAAATTGTTAGTAAAAACACTCTAACTCTTTAAGGGAGAAAACAGCTAACTTTAAGTGTGATACTCTTTCAAGTGACAAGGCCAAAATCAGATTAATATCTAGTTCATTATGAAGAAAGCTGATTATTGATAAGTATGAGACTGATAATTGATCTGTATGAAATAGTGATAGTGAAAATTTTGCTTTGTCCAGGTTGACGCCCGAAAAGTGTACGGTAAGAAATTCACCAGGAGTTGGACAGTTATTCTTCCCTAACATGTGAATAACCTCATAATTCGTCATTGGTTTATAATTACTCACAACTTGCTGATACTAGTTTTACTTTGAAATTCACCTGGTAGCGGACAGTCGATAAACTAATCCAATTACTTAGGAAAATAAAATTAATTTCTCTGTGGCTAAGGCTACCTCGTCTTCCACCAACCTAGTCTTCTTAGACAAACGCAAGTACTTGTGTCAAAGTAAATAATTAAAATACTTTGTGAGGCCAGTAAGTTGAAATAGCTAGCGTGATACTCAATATAGTTCTATATTTAAGACATTAGTTGATCAAAAGTAAAATAATATCAATATACACAAAACTTGCAAGAAAGATACCTGGAGGAATTCCCGTTTGTTGCACATTTTGAGAGTTTTGCTTGGGATGATAATATTTGCAGGAGTCCCCATACTGGCAATACCCCTTTGATACATGTAAAAGAGATGATCAACAATATTATCCAATCAAGGGTGTCAAACACAAATAATTTAGAGTGTAGACTTCACCATCCCCTATCCATTATAGTAACTCTTTCAACATGTAAATGATGTGCTACGATGAAGTTAACAATATAAGAAGTGTCATTTGACCTTGAGCAATAAATTCAGGTGGATGAAGTAAAGCAACAAACGCTATGCCCGTTTGTGTTGAAAACTACCAAGTTACTTGACCTACTATAGTAAATTATTCTTGAAGTTACCAAACTTCTGTTGTAGAGTATAATACTCAGAAGGCCAAAGCTCCAGTTACAACTTGGGGGTATTCTGAGATGCTGATAGGTCTTAGCAAACCATATTTTTCTATTTAAAGAAAGGGCCCAGAAAGCCTTAAATGCCATTTCAAGCTATCTTAAAATGCAATAATCTCTCTTCTTCTTTTTTTATTGGTAATTATGAAATGCATCAATTAAACTCCCAAGTATAGCCAGTCCAATCTCGCATAAAGGAAGACGATTGCAATAGGTTAGATATGGCATAAGGCCTCAAAATATGATGAATTTTCTGAATAAAAGATAGGGACGATTCATATAGCTTACTCCAACTAGTTTGGGATTGAGATGCACTGTAGTTGATTATTTAATTGATTGATGAAATGCATCAATCTAGGTATTTATCAATTCTATTCCTTCTTCGATCACGCTAATTCAGAATTGCGGTACAATTAACAACCAAAATCCCGAGCAGGATAAGGAATTAATGAAGCAGTACAATTCCCGTATCTCAAAAGATAGCAGAATTTTATTTTTGCATATTAAAACAAAGGTAAGAGCAGTACCGTACGAACAAAGTGATTGCAGACTCCTTTACCAAACGAATCAGGATCGTTATATAACTGAGGATCTGCTATACCAAAAAAAAAAAAAAAACATTTAATTCTTGCAGAAGTAATACTTGCATATTTGAGGAAAGAAATAACTATGATTACGAAGAAAAAAAGGGAGAAACTTACTGCGCAAAGAGTCGTACCAAAGAGCTTTAGCTCTCTGATGTTGAACGCCTTGAAGATGTCGCCTCCGAGCCGCTGCAGTATCCTGGAATTCCTTATCGCAATAATCGCAGTAGTATTTCCCCAACGGCATTTTTAGTATTAAGGGAAAAAAATAACCGAATGCTTAACGGATTTTATATGTTTGCCTTCTAATTCCTAGGAATCTAAGTTTCCAGGTCTCGTTTAGACTTTGGTCTCCTTTATTATAAAACCACTGTTTTTTTTTTTTTACAAATTACTGTAGTATTTATTACTCTATGAGGTCCAAAATAAGTAATTTTTTAGTTGTTCTCGTACATATTAAGAAATACACCTTTTAACATTAATTAGCAATGAAATTGACCATATTAACATTTACTATCTCTTCACATAAATACTCCTAACACATACCCCAACATTATTTACTCCAAGGGTAATGTAGGAAAAAAATAATAAATTTATTTTTGATATCTGGAAAAATCACATATTTTGGACGACAAAAAAAAAAACCAAAAAATCACTTATTTAGACCGGAGGGAGTACTTACTATTATTAAGTTAGGTGATTTCGATGGTACAATATTGACATAACAAAAGCACGAATCAACTTAGACTCCGACCAATTTTGTAAATACCATTGTTAATCTTTTAAGATGACAAAAAGGACTCAATCTTTTACATAGTCTCATGACGTCGATGCCAGCTGAATCTGAAGAATCATAGCACTTACCACCAGTTCACAATATACTAACACTAGTTGTCACCAATCTTTGGGTCCGTTTAAGTGCTCAACACTTAACTGAAATCTTACAAAGGCTTAGAGAAACCACTTGACCCATTGAGAACAAAAAAGTACTCAGTACATCCGCCGTTTTACTGGAGTTAGTCGATGATAGAGTTTAACTCCTGTTAATTAATAGTGCACAATTGCTTTCACATCAAACTGAATGACATACTGAAATATGGAACTGACTATAGCGACACTAATTTTGTGACATGTAACATGTTATGATTGATTATAATACACAGTATATAGAAGTGTTACACTGTCAATGTATAAAAGCTAAATTCTATTTCATCGGACAATCATGTCAGCAGGTTATGTTAAATAATGTCTCACTGAGGACAACAAAACCAAATGTCAGTCAAAAGTTAAAATACCAAGTATCTCAGGAGCCGACATATGCCAATATCACAAGCGAGAGAAACGGCCATATCAACCGTCACACTACCATCACTTTGAAATCCCGTAATAATAAAGTTCGCTTAAAACTGTTAATTCTTAACCACATAATGTTACAAGCGTAGGACATACAGGAACAGGGTAAAAGGAACACACAGGTTGAAGATCGGGTATTTGTTAAAGATCAATTCCCTACATCTGCTTTTACAAAACAAGATAATAACAATAATAATAATAATACAAAGGGACAACAGATACATGAGGGATAAGGGAAAAAAAAAACAAATTGATACAGAGAGGAAACACAGCTTCAAAGGGTACACTTAAATTATTTCTATCATTCGGCAGGAACTCATAACCCAAGGGACGGGCACTGTTTTCTGGCGTGCTCTGGAACCAACTTCAATAATGTCTCTGCATGCACGTTCTTCAACTCTGGTGACAAGGAAACCCAGTTTTGATAATTCAATTTCAACTATCGAAATGAAGTCAATCTGATAGAAGTCTTATCAACAACATACCGTGAGCCTTAAAGTTAAATAAGGGAGGAAGGAAACGTCCATTAGGCAGGCGTGTATTGGGATCACGAAGCTCATCAAAAAAGCAGTGAGTCAAGGCATCCAACTGCATTCAAAATTTATACACCTATCACAACTTAGAACGAGACATGAATTCTTGTAAATTTGCAAAATAAACTACAACATGATCACCAAAAGAAGCAAAGAAATATATGCTTGTACAATGAACAAACTCCAGAACCAAGCCATGCATATCATTTTTAACAGTATGAGACTAAATTGAAAGATCTATAACAGAACAAAAACTCAGCATAGCCATCCTTGAACCATGAAATCCATAGCTTCAACAACGCAAGTTTCATTGAGAGAACTAAGCAAGGCCAGTTATTCTATACATACCATTTAAACAAACAAGTATCCAAATGAACAAGGAAGAAACAGTGCACATGATGCCTAAAAGTACACAGCTACAAAATCCAAAACACCTACATCTTATACTTATACCCTGTTAGCGAAATATCTAATATTAAGTAATAAACCAAGCCACAACAGCACATCAACAAAATACTGCCGTCCCAACAATGGAAGGATCCATGATCACATCCTTTCAAACAATGCATGCACTGCATCTACTCATCGGATGGTGGTATTTTGTAACCTGAAGTCTCAAAAAATTTATGCTTTGAATAACCATAACATTGCTCTTCAAGAATTTCTTTTTTTTTTTTTTGTTGTGATTGGTACTCTTCAAGAAATTATATGAAGGCATTAAGACAAGAGAAGGGAGAATGGCATGGCAGTCAGCAAAAAAAATTGTTCAAGTTTATCATTTATAAGATGTCTAGAATATCACAATATGCTCAACACTGCAACAGAGATACAGAATGATGACCCATGTATAATCAATGAGTACACAGAGGCATAAGAGATTAGCTAAAATTAACAAATTTGGCATACTTACAGCAGCACAGCGCAAGTTAGGAGAGTACTGCAGCAGTCTTGAGACAAGATCAACAGCTTCTGGAGGCATGCGCTTATGAAATATCTGAAAATCAAACATTAGAAATGACTTGTTGCCTTATGTATACTTGACATTCCTATGAAGGGGCTAGATATGATAAGTTGTATCTCAAGTACCTTGTGCCATGGATGAGCTTTAATTTGAGGAAACTTAAACTCATTGTAGTTGGGATTCATACATTTAATTTCTTCTCTTGTAGGAGTGCCCAAAACCTGCAAAATATAATGGGAGATATAGTTTGGGCAAAGGAAATATCAACATCAGGCCAAAAATGAGGACAAATTAAATAACACGGCTATACAAAAGGTTGTGTATCTTCTTAACCATATTTATAAAAGACAACAATTGAAATGTTAATAACAAAGAAAGCTGCCTTATCACTAAAAAGATACTTCTATTGCACTTCCTCTTTAGTTACAGCAATTCCAAATCTGAAACTGTTACATCAAGCAGAATAACAGATTACATGTGCGCCGCAGCTCTATTCCTCAACATCCAGAAAAAGCTCCGTCCTTGAATTACTATCTGGAAACTATGTCTATTTGAGTTTGACAAACAAAAATTAGCACAGAATAAGAACCTAAATTTCCAGAACACCCCCTAGTAGAGGCCAAAATCATTGGCAGGTAAAGACTATTCAGGTCAAAATCTTATATTTCTAGAACCAGATGCATTTACAAACTATTCAGGTCAGAATCTCCAATTTCAGAACCAGACTCCAACTTTTTGGTGGGTGGCCTCATCTACACTATAATTGGTCCAAAAAGCCCATCCCACCATCCTCAGGGCTACTCAATCCACAAATCATAAGAATCATAACCTTAAGCTTGGTTGACTGGCAGTTCGAAAGAGGTGGATCTTCACCTTAATATCAAACCGTGGAACAAACAGCTAGGAAGCAAGAAAAACAGGTGAATCTGTATGTATATTGACTTAAGCCCCTTTTCTGTTAATTTCTTTTTATTTTAAATTCCCTTATTACATCTTAAGGAAATCATAATTGCTAAGGAATTCCCCTCAAATGATTAAATTGATAGGAATGTACTAAATCAGCCCCCATAAAAAGTTACTATCTCACTGATAAAATGCATTTGCAAAAAACTGTTGCGGAAGGCAATAGTTTGGCACTAGAAATCACACAAAGGTTGCCGCACAACATTGCAAGACAAGTAGTTGACAATGCCGAAACAGAGAGGCAGGAAGAAGGCCTATGAAAAGCGTGATTGGATGCAATAAATGAAAAGAAAACCCAAAAAGAAAAAAGAAAAAAGAAAAATGATAAAAGAAGATAAATGAACACATCACGCCCCCATGGTTTTGGTCTAGTCAGTGGTAAGAACAAAGCACGTGATGTGCGGGTTAGGCGCACATCACGGGTTTGAACACTGCCGCAAACAAAAGCCTAATATTTAAGGATAGAGGGCCAGGCCCATTATCTATGGCGTTTTTCACCATTCCCTACTGGCCCTCGGGGATTTCTCGGTTATCAAGAAAATACTAATAACTGGAGAATGATTCATGCAGCAATTTTTTGGGTGTGTTTGGAATGGAAGGAATGACAGGTGTTTTGATGGGATTTCGACTCCAGTTCACTCTTTGAAAGCTACGTGCTTAGTTAATTTGTTCAGCTGGAACTCTTACCCCTGTAAGTAGTGTTAACTTTTTGGATTTTGTTAGCTGCTTGGTCCTAGTTTAGACACTCATGTACTGGATCTAACACTATTTTGTAACTCTTTTGATTAGCATCTTCCTGATGCTCTTTAATGATATCATTTTACTTCATCGAAAAAATAATAACAATGACTGAAAACTTCATCACAGAAAAAGCAGAAAGCTCATGGAAAGAAAGTGAAAGGGACTGCAGACAAGGAAATCAAATAATAAGGAGATTACCTTAATGATCTCAACAAGCTGGTCAACTCCACTTTCACCGGGAAACAGAGGCTGAAATGGGAGAAAGAAAAGAATGAGATGAGAGAACTGTCCATGTAAAACAATGAATACAGAACATGGTCATAATAGGCTAATAATAGGAGAAAGTAACAACCTACCTGACCAAGAAGTAGCTCAGCTAGGACACAGCCAGCAGACCAGATGTCAATAGCAGTAGTGTACTCTGTTGCACCAAATATGAGCTCAGGTGCTCTGTAATACCTAGAGCAGATGTAAGAAATATTTGGTTCTCCTTTAACCTGCCAAAATATTAGAGTGAAATCTACAATCAGAATGCACACCATATAGACTCAATGTTAGGATGGACGAGAGACAAGCAAAAATGGAAACACACCAGAACTTTAGCACTCCCAAAATCGCATAACTTGACCTGGTGGGTATGTGGGTTCACCTGCCAAAAAGAGTACAGACCGTGGCTGCTTAGTATCCAGAGAGAAGCGCGATGTGGAAAGGGGCAGCACTAATAATTCTTAATAGCATTTGATATATGTTCAATGGTCATAAGAAACAATAGGTCTCTGCCCTTCCAGC